GGACCTTACATGCTTGAAAAATTGATAGCTTTTGGACCCCAAATAAAAAATCGTCCTGAGTGACAAAAGGCCAGTGAGATTTCTCAAACAACTCAGCCTTTCAGTAAACATCAGATGAAGAGAGGTCCTTTTCCGCTGTAGCATATTGTTTCAGATAACCTCAAGGCATCTGCCATCAAGCTGAAGAAAAAACAGGGCTAGGAAACAAAGAGTAAGGCGAATTTAATAACCACATCTAGTAAAAACCTTGGCACATGGAACTAACTGGAAGCAAACAGATCAGAAGCTTAGTAAGAAATTTTTGAAGAAATTGTAGTGCCAAAGAACTACAATGTGTTAAGGCTAAAAAGGCTTTGAAATAACCCATGGGAAGGAAGAGATATATGAAAGCCGTTCAAGTCCCAAGAAGATAATATTCCCCAACAACTATTTCAGACATTGCCATGAAGGATGGTAATGGTTAAGAAAGAAACTGAGAGACAGTAGCCAAGAGCCACAGAAAGAATCATGAACAGACAAGAAACTACCCCACATCTTGGGTAGTCGCAGTGCCTATCCAAAAGGATTTAATAATTTCTATGGGTCACTGAACGTTCTGTGTATTCTATTCTTCCTTTTTATGAATGGAAGTTTTTATTGAAGTTATTCTGGGGAGACAACATAGATTACCCAGTTGATGTCTGGCTAAATAATTTGCAGTTCAAATTGAAAATGTAGGAACTCTAGTTCAAAAAAGCAAAGAAAATGTGCCATTAAAAGTTCTAAAATATAAAGCTTTTTCTTCTGTGGTATGTTTTGAGTGGTAATGATGTTTTATATTTCTTAATGCCATTTTAAATTAGGGAAAATTTAATTTTAATGTTTATCTTATCTTGTGCAACACCAGTTTTAAATACAAACACAATAGCATTTAACTTGCATGCAGAATTACTGAAATTACACAATGAGTATTTCCTGAGCTTACAGATGCCTACATGTTTTGTTTTTCTCAGAACAGTGGAGATGCCGCACACAACTAATTTGGCTGTTTTTATTTTGCTTCTCAATGTGTGCATAGCCTAGCAATGCTCTCTACATTTGGCTTACATGATTCCTTCTGAAGGAAGGAATAAAAGGAGAAAGAATTATGGTTGCTCTATCATTCCCCTTCTTCCCATGACATCATTTTAGTGTAAATGGTTGGCAAATACAGGGTAATATAGCAAAAGAAAAAGGATATGATAAGATTCTTTGATCTTTTGTGCTTCTTAGAATGCTACTGCCTTCTTTTTGTGTCCAAAGCACGTTTTGCTTCCAATGGAAAAACGTGGTTTCTCGAAGCTGTCAGTGCCCTGCTCACTCCGTAGAAGTAACATGGTTACCTTGCACTCCTTTTTTAGAGCCAGGGCAGTGACATGATCACGGCTCTTTGCAGTCTCCACCTTCCAGGTTCAAGTAATCCTCTCACTTCAGCCTCCCAAGTAGCTGGGACTACAGGCATGCACCACCACCCCTGGCTAATTTTTTATTGTTTTTTTTGTAGAGATGGGGTTTTGCCATGTTGCCCAAACTGGTCTCAAACTCCTAATCTCAAATGATCTTCCTACCCCCACCTCCCAATGTGCTGGGATTACAGGCATGAGCAACCATGCTTTTCATTTGCTAAACTCCCAAGCATCATAGGTCTACCAAAATTCTGTGCTCAAGGGAAATTACAAATGCTGATATACGAATGAGACAGCAAGGAATAGAGGACATATGTATTGCAGATATCTCTTCTCACATGCATGCTCCATTATCCCATCAGACTTGATTTAAAAAACACAAGTTTAAAGATAAAATTATTGACCCAGCATGGTGGCTCACACCTGTAATGCCAGCACTTTGGGAGGCTGAGGCAGGTGGATCACCTGAGGTAGGAGTTCAAGACCAGCCTGACTAATATAGTGAAACCCCATCTCTAAATTACAAAACTTAGCTGGGCATGGTGGCGTGGGCCTGTAGTCCCAGCTACTTGGGAGGCTGAGGCAGGAGAATCACTGGAACCCAGGAGGCGAAGGTTGCAGTTAGCCGAGATCGTGCCACTGCACTCCAGCCTGGGTGATAGAGCAAGACTCCGTCTCAAAAAAAAAAAAGATAAATATCAAGACAGTAATAATAGAGCATTAAACCGATTCCAAGGCCCACTTGTGTAGGCTTACCTGATGATTTCACTTGGGTTGAGGATAAGTAAATTCTTTATGAGGAAAAAATAGTAAAATGGATGTTTTAGGTGAATAAAATGATTAAGATTATTGACTCACCAAAACCTATTTCTTTTTTTTCCTTCAGAGCACACACTTATTCCCCAGCCCCCCGACCCTTTTCTTTCTTACTGCTAGGTATGTCATGTGACTGCATTCATGCAATGGAATTCGGATAAAAGTGATGCACAGCAGTCATGCTGGATCCCTAGAAACTCCCCCTATGATTCTCTGCTCTCTTCCTGCCTTTGTCTGCCAAGTTTATGCAGGGGGACCAGGAGAGGATTCAAATCTTCCGAAGAGATGATTGATCCAACAGTTTAGAAAGGTGCTGAATCTCCATAGATGCTTTGAGCCATATATTCAGAGGGCTTATTTGTAACAAATACCAGTTCTCTCCTAAATAGAAGAAATCCTCAACCTCAACATATGTGATTTTCCACTCAGGAACTTATCACTGAGGGCTTAACTGGCAACAAGACAAATCAGATTAAGAATGTCAGCTAACCTTAGAAGCTGGACAGACATATGAGGTAATTCAGGAATGTGAAGGAGATTTTGGTGCTGAGAATCACTGGGTGCAGGGGGTGCCATTGGTTGATAACAAAACCTGGGAATGGGACTAACCCTGGACACTTACGTTAAGTAGCTGTAGTTTTAAATTTGGTGGGCCATAGGGCTGGGGGTGGAGGGTGAGGTAAAGAATTTTTTTAAACCAATGTTATATTCTTCAAGAGGTTTTAGCATCCTGCGTAGTATCCTCTACCCCACTGCTTTCTTCCTTATCATGACGCCTTATTTGATCCATGACATATAATACACATTGTGATTGTACATGTATTTGCTGAATTAATTCTTCATTGTCCATTTAACTTGTTTTAATGTGTTTCATAAAGTTAACAGAAGGTTAACTTTGTCAGTCTGATTAACTCCCTGTGTCTAACAGAGTGTTTATCACTGAATGACTGAATAAATTTTTTAAAAACTGACCTTCCTTATCTATGGGTTCCATATCTGTGGGTTCTGCATCTGTGGGTTCAACCAAACATGGATTGAAAATATTCCAAAAAGATAAAATGGTTGTCTACACTGAACATGTACAGACACTTTTGTTCCTGTCATTAATCCTTAAACAATAGAGTATAACAATTATTTACATTGAATTTACTTTGTATTAGATTTTTAAAGATAATCTAGGGATAATTTAAAGTATCCAGGCTGATATGTTGAAGTTAGATTTAAATATTACACCATTCTATATCAGGAACTTGACCATCCATGAATTTTTTTATTCCTGGGGAGGTCCTGGAATACCAGGATACGGAGGGACACCTGTATATAAATACACATATACTGTGCTCACTCATTGGGATGTTTAATACTTTAGACTTTTGTCAATTGGTTTCTGCCTTGTCTCCTTGTACCACAGTGAATGGATACTTTACTTTTGAGCTCAGTTCTCCTAGACTGGGGCCCTGATTCATACAACTGGACTTTCCAACACTGCACACCCCACTGCTTAGACTTCTTTCATTTGCCTGCCATTTTGATTGCAAAACACCTGCCCCATCTCGCCTTAGATAGATATCCTGGGCTTTCTTCTCTTGATTTGGATGGTTTGTCCTTGGTTCTCATGCCCATCCTCTCATTTCTGATCTATGTTCAGACTCACAATTCTGTGTATTTGTTACCTCTATCACCGACATTGGTTTCCTACTCAGGTCCAAGATCACATATCCAATTCTGAATGCAAGTACACCCAGTCAGCAGCTGCCTCTGAGTTCTATATCTTCAAATGTTCTTAGTATTCAACATAAAACAGCTTACTTAGGCACAACTAACCAACTCTCCTGAATTAATTGTAATACATATCAAATGTGTACACTTTTAAAAATAAAATGGAACAATTCAAAGAAATAAGGATTTAATTAAAATATATTGGTAGTGCTGGAAAAAACAGTGACAAGAATAATTAGACATTAATCTCAAAATAATACTTAGGAGGTCAGATATTGTGCCTCTACTATGTGATTTCACACTTGACCCCCAATATAAGTCCTTAATAAATATTTCTTTACAAAGTGGTTGATTATTGTGTCTAAAAATACATAATTTTTAACAAATATTGATGTAGTAAAACACCCTACAAACTCTATTCCTATTTCCAGTGCTTTTTAGCAGCCTTTGCTGGCTGGCTATCCAAATGATCATGTTCTGCGGTCTCTCATAGCCACATTTCATGACATTACTGACAGCACTGAAGTGATTGAGTGAATGTAGTGCCTGTTCATAAAATCATTGCAAGTAAAGGGGTTCAAGATTTTTCCAGATGTTATTCAAATCTTTATCATTATTTACAGTAGGACATAAAACACCAAGATCTCATATATGTTTTCCCTTATTGAACTAAGCCAAGCCATGTGGCAGGGCATTAAGGTACAATAAAGTTGGTCACTTCAGAATTTGTTTCCTCAAGCATTCTATTTTTTCTCTAAATTGCGGATAATAGGAATTGACAGTCACATGAACTTTAAGGGAATTAAACAAAATAGGCTAAAGCTTTGGTGCCTTGAAATGAATGGGTCACACACAGTGGGTGCAGATCACTAAGAAGTTATTATGTATCTGTTTTGAGATAAACTCTTTGCTGCTGCTAATGTTCTGTAACTTTTTATTACATTTTCAAAGAAAGTAAGCCAAACTGGTTGCTATGGAAATGATTATGATGTCACAGAGGATGATGACTTTTCCTAATCTATAAGCAGCAAGAGCAGATGTGCTTGTAAGAAACAAAGATCTTGTTTTCATACAAATGGTCTCAAAATAAAACACAAAGGAAGAAAAATATCCAAAGCACATAATGCAAAGAACAAGAATTGCTTCTAAATAGAATGTTTTACAAAGTTTTCCATAATGATTCAGCTGCTCTTTAAGACACAACCAGCTTGAACATGGATGGCAGACATGAAATTACAGTATTCACAAAATTAGTATTCAGCTTGCAGAATCTCTTTCCAAAGCCTTCAGGCATACTTTATGCACGCACAATTACAGAAGCAGGTAATGAGAGAGATTCTGATTTCTTCCTATTGTTATTATTGTACTTAACTAGATAAGTCTTGATAAAAATTGCTTTGTTAAAAAGAAATCCAAGCAATAATTTGTTAATTCTATTGAAGATATATTTTGGCTATTACTACAAGACACACTGGCTGATATCTCTAAAACACACATTACTCTGTCCATGGAGATGGGTAGTGACATATCAACTTTTAGTAATGAATCAAAAAGTTCCATAACAATAATCTTCAAGCTACACTACTCTTTTATAATTTTATTATTTCATAACACAATTTCAATTATTAGAGATTTTTAAAAAGGATATTCAAAGTTTATGACTATGACCTCCTGAAATACATAGATATGATAAACAATATATCAAATGAATGGGTTGTGTCAAAATATATTACAAAGTTTTCATTATATTACTTTGAATTTAATCCTATATACCTTCTTGGTCATTGAGGCTCTCCTAAATTAATTCTATAGATTCTCAAATACTTCTCACAGTAACTTCAACTATTCTTAAAATTAATCAAAGTTCAAATGATAAAAATGTATGAATTATAATAAAGTTCTCACTCCCTGTAATAAAAAATAACCTTCCATCCAGCTTGCAACATGGATTTGGTAATAAAAATTTTAAGTTCTGCTATAACTAAATGAGAGATTTGAACTGAGTGAAAATGAGACAAATTAATTATTTTGATGGCTCCTAAGATATCCTGCTCCTAAACAAATCTGCCACCAAACAACTGGTTACATGAAAACATAAAACATTAAGACCAAGATACATTATGCTACAATTCTACACTACTATTAAGTGAATGTATATCCAATTTTACATTCGATTTACTGTCAAAATTAATTTTTATTTAGAAAAATACTATGAGAATTATATGAAAGAAAAAGAAGTAAAAATAAACAAAGAAGAAAAAAAGTAAAAGTTCACTATGTTCCGCAGCCTCAGTTAAAAGAAATTGAGAATAAGTTAACAGGTGTTTCTGAATGCTAGACTTTAATCCTAGTTTTAGTTCTGCAATCATATTGAAGTCATATACTATTTTAAGACATAAGCTCACTTTTTAAAAGTACATAATATGAAGACAGTACTCTAAATGAACACCAATGTTTGAGCTATATATTGAGAACTGAAAGACTATGAAAACATTAATTCTGAAAGGAGGCTAAAAATACTTGACAGTCTTTTTATAAACACTGAAAAGATTTAAGAGACACCAAAGAGATGTTTGTTTAAGAACTACAGAAGACCATAATAGTTTGGTCGATTTAGCCAAAGTGGGAAGGCCTAAATTTAAAGAATAACATCGGTATTTGAATTTAGAAAAAGAGAAAGGAAATTGCATTAAAAGTGCTTTCTAATGAATGAATGACTAGACAGCAGCAGAATACAACACTTTATTGATGAAGGGTTTTATATCTCTATGATAACTTTTATTACAAAGATAGTACCAAATCTGTTTAAAGCACTGTATTAAGAAATAAGAGCACTATAAAAAAAGTTGACTGAGTCTTTTTCTAAAATTGCTCTAATAGTGTAGATAAGATACACATACAAGAAAAATATATTTTATTGAGAGAAATGATAACATTATTGATGTAGATAGTAAGTTCTAAATAAGTTAACCTAAAGGGAATTACAAAGCATTCATCTACATGCGGTATCAGCATAGTTCAGGGGCAGAAATAAAAATGTGGTGTAGCAGTTTAACAGAATTAAAGCTGTATATAAATAAGGTGTGACAGACTATGTTGTCTTTCCATATATATAGGTTTTCCCTGATAGTTTTTTCTAATTTTTTTAATCTGTTTTCATTTAAAACTGCTTAAGCCAAAAATTTTCATTTTAAAGACTCCCAATGAGGGCAAACAAACAAAAACTAGGCAGTTTTAATATTTAGAGAAGAAAACTTAATTGGAAATTGTCCTAAACTTTGCACTCCCTATAAAATCATACGTTAGTTCAGCTGATTGTTGCTATGTGAGGTTTTTCTAGGCACTTATATTATACAAATGCTCTAATTTAGACTTGATCAAGGTCTGGATAAAACATCTGAATCTGATATATGTTATTCTGGGTATTATATTTTGAAGAGCAACCATAAGAAATGGGTACTCCGATGTGGAAAAAAATGTTTTTCATTAGTTTGATTTTTCTTTTAAAAATGACATCAGGGCCGGGCGCGGTGGCTCACGCCTGTAATCCCAGCACTTTGGGAGGCCGAGGCAGGTGGATCACGAGGTCAACAGATCGAGACCATCCTGGTCAACATGGTGAAACCCCGTCTCTACTAAAAATACAAAAAATTAGCTGGACATGCTGGCCCAGCTACTCGGGAGGCTGAGGCAGGAGAACTGCCTGAACCCAGGAGGCGGAGGTTGCAGTGAGCCGAGATCGCGCCATTGCACTCCAGCCTGGGTAACTAGAGTGAAACTCCATGTAAAAAAATAAATAAATAAATAACATCAGACATTTGGGAAAAGGTTTTTAAATATTGAGAAGGGAATCAATATAAAATTAAGGTACAAGCCTGAGTAACACAGAGAGACTCCCATCACTAAATTTATTTTTTTAACTAGTCAGAGGTGGTGGTGCACACCTGTATTCCCACTTACTCGGAAGGCTGAGGTGAGATTATTGCTCAAGCCCAGGAGTTCAAGGCTGCAGTGGATTATAGTTATAATAATTAACTATAATAATTTAATCACACTAATTAAAAAATGTCCCTTGTAAAACTGCTACTTAGAATATTTGCTTGCTTAATTTATCAAAGAAATGCAAACATAATCCTTAGCCATGAATAAGGCATAGCTCTAAACCCTGAATTGATCAGCTATAAATATTAACTCATATAATCCTTATTAAAAAGAAAATTTAGATAAGTTTTATTATTTCCATCTACTATTAACAGGTAAATACTACTACTAAAAACTAGACTATTAAGAAACTTGTCCAACTGTTAAGTAACACAGTAAATCACCGAGCCAGGATTTGACAGCAGGCCTCCAGGATTGAAAGATCTTGATCATTATATATGATACCAAAGTATCATATACAATGGTACTTTTGCCAGTATCCCCTGGGCCAAATTCCTCTTGGAATACCAACCTGGGAATTTTTTTTTTTGGAGGGGGAGCTGATGATTTCTCAGGCTTCCTAGACAATATGAACTACATTACCAACAGTGTGTTTCCTCTTTTATTTGATTACTATGTTTGCAGAAATAAGTTTTGTGTTTATCTGTGGCTTTTTCATAACCAAAAGTTCTTGGTATTTTCTTTCTCCTTTGCTTCTCAGTTTCTCTTTTTATTCTATAAATTTACCCTGAATTTCAATTCCTGTAGGATGTATTGGTGGATAAATCAACCAACCAACTTCAAAAAGTAGCCACAAATCAGTCTTGAAAAGAACTGTTTTATGTTTTCCCATTTATAAATCAAAGGACTAGCGGCTACTATCAATTATTTAAGATAAAGCATAGCTAAACTAAAGGTTCACTTGACAGTGATCGTCACTGCTTTTAAAATTTAACAGTAAAAACATATACACATTTGATTATAGTTGACCTTTTCAAAATATTCATTATTTCCTTCAGTAGCATTATAAGAACCATGGGTCACAAGACCCACGTCATGTAGTAAGATGAGAATAATGGTAATCTCTTGATTTTACCATCCTATATAAAATGATGCCATGTCCTTTTATCTTTCATCAAAGGCATAATTTCAGGGTAGAGAACAAAAAACTATGATTCCAGATAACTTCTCTCTATCAAGCCTGAGTTCTAACACGAGCTGACTGGTTAACTTTGAGCAATCATTTAAATACTCTGGGTTAAATATTAGATGACTAAATATTTTCATTACACGAATTAACTTCTCCTTCTAGCCTGACACTTTGATCACTGGTGTTATCCCTTAATTTCACATAGGAAGAAACAAGGAGAAGAGCAATGCAGTCACCCAACCAGAGTAAAACAGTCAGATAATGGCAGAGTCAAAATTAGAACAAAGGTCTCCTGGCTTCTAGAATTGTGTTTATTAAGAAATCAAACATTGCAGATACATCTCATCCTCCCTTCTCTCACCCTGGAGGTTACTATTATTCTGAAAGTGGTGCCTTACTTTTATATAATACTTTTGCTACATATACCTATATACAAAAACAATACATATTGTTTTCTATGTTTTTAAGAATTAACAATTTATGTAAGAATCCTTTTACCATTTGCTTATCTTACTCAATATAATATTTTAGGGATTTTTGTGGTGGTACTTGTGTATTTATATATGTATTGATTTATGTAGTACGTGTGTGTGTGTGTGTGTGTGTGTGTGTATTTGTTGTAGTATTTAGTTGCTGCACACTATTTCAGTGAAATGAGATACCTCAATTTGTTTATCCATTATCTTGGCCAGTAGCTTTCCATCTTCTTTTGACCATGTAATCCACAGGGAGTAAAAATATCTTTTACCTGGTGGGCCAATAGATAGATAGATATACCTGTGATACAAAAATTTACCTTTCATTTATCCTTATTGTGTGTGATAAATGTATTCTATTTGATTCTATTTTACTTTTTTAGATGCTGGTTATGACTGACTAAATACACACAGCCTGCTAATGGGTTATAACCAGGCATTTGAAAAATATTGTTCTAGGGGGATATTTTTCAAACTGCTATAACATTTCCAATACTCCGATATTCCTGCAGAATTAAGTGGTAAGCTAAGAGGGGGGATGGTGGGTCCAGCTTAGAATTTTTTCTGGCAATGAAATATGCAATTAAATAGGAATATATTTAACATGTGGATCTCTTAGGTACAGAAAACAAGTCTGAACCATAGTTTAGGCAGTGAGGCTGATTATGAGGTAATTCTAAAAAACTGTGTATAGATTTTTAAACAAATGATACATATTTTGAATTGATGCTGCTATCTTACTACTTTAAGGATCCCTATGGACAGTCTATTTGTAA